TTCTTTCCCTTTCCCTTTCTTCTTTCCCTTTCCCTTTCTCTTTCCCTTTCTTCTTTCCCTTTCCCTTTCCCTTTCTTCTTTCCCTTTCCCTTTCTCTTTCCCTTTCCCTTTCTTCTTTCTCTTTCCGTTTTTCTTTCCCTTTCTTCTTTCCCTTTCCCTTTCTTCTTTCCCTTTCCCTTTCTTCTTTCCCTTTCCCTTTCCCTTTCTCTTTCTCTTTCCCTTTCTTTTTTCCCTTTCCCTTTCCTTTCTTTTCTGTCTGGAGCCCAGCTATCAGCTATCAAAAGCTGATAGCCCAGCTACCAAAAGCCTTGATATAGCATTACATAATTCATCCATGTAACAAAAATTCAGAAGAATCAGGAGTTCTTATTTAATGGTTGGTCTGGAACCCAGCCATCAGTATTTTTCTTAAAAGTTTCCCTAGTATGTAAAATATACAAGGCAAAGAACCACTCACTATATGTATGTATGACTGGAAGGAACATGTCAAAAGTAAACAGGGATTATTTTTGGAGAATGAGATTAGAGAGAAAAGTAAGAATATGGAAATTTCCCTTTTTCCTCTTATAATGATGTGTTTAAGCTTTTTCCCAATGAATTCATATTACTTTTATAATTTCTTTAGAAAACCTGGAAAATATTGGGGCAATATAAATGGTTGTTTAAAATATTGACCCTTTGGTGCAGTGGACATTGGCAACTAAGAAACAGGGAGAGTGATAAAAAAGTTACCTTTTGGGTACAATGTATTACTCTGGTAACAGGTAGACTGAAAGCCTTGATATAGCATTGTATAATTCATCCATGTAACAAAAAACACTTGTACCCCCTAAATCTTTTCAAATTAAAAATATCAACTTTTGAAGTCAGATTTTAGGTCAAAATCACACCATACCATTTATTATTTTTGTAATTTAAAGTAAGTCACTTAACACTGCTGAGTCTCAGTGTTCTTACAGGTAGAATAAGGAAAATCGAAGTATTGATCTTTTCTGTGAGGATTAACTGAGGTAATGCACAGTATGCATTAGTAAATGGCACTGGTATTGTCATTTTGTAGGCACCAGTGTCAAAGCTACCAGCATGTCATGGAGCAAGAGGACACACAAGAGTCCTTTGAATTTGGCTAGAGGGTTAATTTATGACTTGTGAGAGTCAGTTTACTAGTTTTCTGAGAATAGAAGCTGATTTGGGGGGAGGTTAAGGACTGAGAGCATGAGAAGAAAGTAGAAGCAATAAGCCACATACTTTTAAAGTATGACATTAAAAGAAAGGAGAAAAATAGAGCACTATCTAGAGGGAATAATGGGGCCAAGGGGAAAATTTTTTGGTAGAACAAGAATGCTTAGTGTTGAGAAATGGGACCAGAGCTTTGGGAAGATGAAGATACAATGATTAATGGAGAAACAGGTCCAAATGGAGTTGGAAATTATGGGATTAAGATAGATGAATGAATTAATCTTGCCAAAAAAAGGGACCATCTCAAAGAGGAATCAAAAAAGACCAAATAGATAATTTAAAGTAGAAATAAGAGTTTAGGTAGTTTATGCCTTATGTCCTTGATTTCTTCATATCTATTTGTGAAGTAACTTTCTCTATTCCAGATAGTATGCTAAACTCTAGAAAAAAAACAGTGCACAAAACAAATTTTCCTTTCCTATTTTTTTTTAATTTTTAGCTTTTCTCTATAGTGCATATCACGACAACATATTTATTTGTTTGCTTTTTGTAGGTCTCTCCCCACTTGACTAATCTCTATGGTGATAGGGGAATGACTTACTCTGTTGTAACCCCTTTTTATTATAGTAACAGGCATATAGTTGATGCTATCGAACATTTACTAAGTAAATTCAATGAAATATTACATACTATGTGCCTCACATTTAACTCATTTTAATTCACTCAATCCTTATAATAATGCTGAAAAGTAGACAAGTTCAGAAAGGTTTGTATAAATTCTTCATGGAATTTCAATATAGAATGCCTAGAAAAAAGTTACATTAATTATTTGGTACTTGAATAGTTTTCTGCAGTTCTTATGAAGAGAATAAGAAATGTATGCAATAAAGCTCATGCCCTTATTCTGTTTCTTATTATAAATTAGATAATGGTTTTCTTTTGATGAAGTGAAGTTCATGTGTATAGAGAGAGCTTCAAAAATATATTTACTCTTTTAAAAAGTAGCTGAGTGCTAACTATATGTCTGAGTCATAGTTCTGGGGGCTGGGAGTACTCAGTAAATGCAAAGTTCTTGTCATAGAGAGCATATTCTGGTGGGTATAACAGATGAACAAAGAAATAGTAAAATGAAGTGATAAGTGCTATGAATAAAAATAAAGAAGGATAAGGGTATAAAGGGTGATAGCAGAAATAGGTTTTAGACTGGATGAAAAATGAAATGTTTAATATTACAGGGCTGTTAAGGAGGCTCAAAAGCAGATAGGAAAGAAGAGAGAAGGTACAAAGGATAGGGAACAGTTAAGAAATAATACATTCAGCCAACAATAAAAGTTCTCAACATATTAACTGATTCCCCCGAGCAATTTTAGTTGAATATTATGAATCCAGTTATATGTGGCAGCTCCTTAAACATTTCTGCCATTAGATATATACATACTTATGGCCATAATAACAGTTTCTCTATCTCTAGGTGGTTTTTCGAGGAGGCGAAGGGGCTTTGCAAGTTTTACCTCCCCTGGTTGATGTCATTCCTGAAGCGAGGCTAAACTTGGTGATCTATTACCTTCGTCAAGGTCAGAACAATTTGTCTTAGTTTATTTATTTATTTATTTATTTTTTGAGACAGTGCCTCAAGCTGTCCCCCTGGGCAGAGTGCCATGGCATTACAGCTCACAGCAACCTCCAACTCCTGGGCTCAAG